GTTGTAACTTCAAATCCAAATCCCTTTCAGCCCCTATAGTCATAAAGTTTATGAAATTATCATGCTTTAGCCCTTCCCTTAAGCCTAAACTTCATTTTAGACTTGGAAATGGTGTTTTTGGCTCATGATACCTTGCATGCACGTAAAGTTTGTAGCTTTACGTGTAATATGGACCCTAGGAGGTCAAATCTATGTTCTGGATGCATTAAACTCGACTAAAATCGACTTGGTAGACTTGGACCTTGGGGGACTCGGCGAGTTGGGTTATGGTTCCCCAACCTTTTATGTTTATGATCGATCTATTTGGGTATAGAAGAGGACTCAACAAGATGGACTGGAATAATGGCTTGAAGATCGAAGAACTCGACGAGTTCAAGGATGAACTTGGCGAGTTCAAGGCAATGCCCCAATAAACATGAAGAAGAACTCGACGAATCAAGGAAAGACTCGATGAGTCAAGGACTTACGTTCCAACTTGCACGAAGAAGGACTTGACGAGTTCAAGGACGAACTCGGCGAGTCATTGACTAAAGGTCCCATTTTCGTATAAAGAAGAACTCGATGAGTTCTGTAACATCCCAAAATTTAGAAGTATGATTGAAGGACTTAAGGGTAAATTGAAGAAGGTACTCGACGAGTAGGTATGCTTACTCGTCGAGTCGGAGCGGGTTCTGGTCGCAAGTTAAGTGACCAACTCGTCGAGTCGGCAGCTGGACTCGACGAGTTGGTGTTGAAAAGAGAAAACCCTAATCTTAAGGGTTGCACCCTATTTAAAGGACCATATGTCCTCCCTTCAGCATCCTTATTGCCCTTGAGATTCAGTAAACCCTAAAATCATGTGAGCTTCCATTGTTAAAGAGATTTGAGCTTTGGAGGAGGAATATTGAGAAGGAAGCTTGAAGATCAAGAGGCTAGCATCAAAGGATTGGTGTAGATCTAGAATCTACTTCAGCTTGGGCACATTTTGGAGGTAACAAGCTGTTACATTGACTCTATTGCATTTATATCTATTCAAGAATGATATTTGGGGCCATTTTGGCATGTTAAGGATCTATTTCGGGTTAGGGGTCTAGATCTGAGGTTGCTACTTCAGATCTAGACTTGTCTTGGTCCAGAAACTCGCAAAGTATCAGCCATTGGCTTGTTGGTGAAGCATCCTTGTCTTAAACCTTAGCCCTAGATTGATTTGGGCCTATAGCTCTTTGTTTTCACGTAAAGTTTGTAACTTTACGTGGGAGTCATGCTCTAGAAGAGTGGATCTACAGTTTGGAGCCCCTGCATGACTCGAAAAGCCTCTGTATGAATAAAGGACTGAAGAGACTCGACGAGTCTGTTCTTGGACTCGACGAGTCTGTTGAAGATAGGCATGAACTCGACGAGTTGGAGGAACAACTCGGTGAGTCTGTTGAAGATTGTCGTGGACTCGACGAGTCTGTTCTTGGACTCGGCGAGTCAGAACGCAAAACCCTAACCTCTTCTGGTTAAGACTCAGATCAGCGAGTTGAGTGGTGACTCAGTGAGTTCGACATGATAGGACTGAGAGATTGTTGAACTCGACGAGTCATGGGTGACTCGGCGAGTCGAGTCGTGATATGAGAGTTTTCTGGGTTAGGAACTCGGCGAGTCAGCGGGTTGACTCGACGAGTAGGGTCAATCAGGAAGGTTGACTTTGGTCAGGACTTTGACTTTGACCAGTTTGACCTTCAAGGGTATTATGGTAATTCGGATATTTATGTCAATGGATCATTGATGGCTATAGGTATTGGAGTTTGGGGCAGTGCTTCGGGATTGTGCTTTCGTGGTTCGGCTCGGCAGTTGCAAGGTGAGTTATCCTCACTATACCCAAGGGTCTAAGGCACCAAGTCCGGCCCTTTGATTTGTTATTTGAGATAGTTACTGCTGTGTTATGTTAGTTGGCATCCTGGTAGATTGGATGGCTATATGATGGTATGCTCTGTTAGATCGGTATTCTGGTAGATTGGATGTGGCTATGCTTAGTAACCTGTAGTTGGTCTGACTGTCTGTATGCTGGTAGGAGATTACCTGTTATATGTGCACGTGTTGAGCAGTAGTAGAGGGTATTCCATCCCGGTAGGATGATAGGGCCCTAGTATGTTGTCTTGTAGACTGTTATATGATTATTTAATAGGTGCACATGTTTGCTAGTATGTGGGCATTCCAACCCGATGGTTGAGGGCCAGGAGTATTCCATCCCGGTAGGATGATTGGACTCATAGTAGGTGGGCATTCCAACCTGATGGTTGAGGGCCTGGGGTATTCCATCCCGAGGGATGATTGGACCCATAGTAGCTATTGTATGTATAGTAGGTGGGCATTCCAACCCGATGGTTGAGGGCCAGGAGTATTCCATCCCGGTAGGATGATTGGGCTCATAGTAGGTGGGCATTCCAACCTGATGGTTGAGGGCGTGGGGTATTCCATCCCGAGGGATGATTGGACCCGTAGTAGTTATTGTATGTATAGGTGTGTGGGCATTCCAACCCGATGGTTGTGGGCCGAGAGTATTCCATCCCGAGGATGATTGGACTCGTAGTATGTTGGCATTCCAACCCGACGGTTGAGGGCCTGGGGTATTCCATCCCGAGGGATGATTGGACCCATAGTATGCTGGTCATTGCTGTATGTGTATGGTTATGTGTGTACGAGTATTTTGGGGGAGCTCACTAAGCTTTCGAGCTTACGGTTTTCAGTTTATTGTTTCAGGTACATCAGGTGATCGTGGCAAGGCAAAGGCGTGATCGTACCGCTCCTCATATTTCATGATTTTGTGATCTGGTTCTGGGGATACTCTGATGTTTAAACTATTTTGAAAACAAGTTGTAATAACTTAATGGTTTTTGAATGGGTTAAAATGTTTTAAATTGGCCTGAATTTTATGGGTGTTACAAGTTCTTGAAAGACTCGATGAGTAGGAGCGAAATCCAGGATGTTAGTGGATTATGGAACTCGACGAGTTGGTGGACCAACTCGGCGAGTTGAGTCCACCAGATGTTGACTTTGACCAAAAGTTGACTTTGACCAGGGTGTTGACCTGGACTTTGACTTGACTTGAGTTGACCCTTGAAAGGGTTAAGAGTATGAAATGGTAATTAAGGAAGGTTGTTATGTGTAGGAGTTGAGATGAGTTGATCCCAACATCGAGGACAATTCAGACACTTCACGACATTGAGGTGAGTTACCTTCCAGTAGAAGTGGGTCTAAGGCCACAATGTCGGCCTACTAGTAGGAGCTTGTAGTTAGATGATTGTCTGTGTGATAATTGTCTGGTATGCCACTATCTGTTATGTTCTATGTGCCAGTATGCTATGATTCTATGTGGTAGTGGTAGGGGGTGAAATAGTCCCCGATATCTGGTTGAAATAGACCGAAGGGGAGGCCAACACCCAGATATGCTAGGCAGTTATCCGGTTGGAATAGACCGAAGGGGAGGCCAACACCCAGATATGCTAGGCGACTATCCGGTTGAAATAGACCGAAGGGGAGGCCAACACCCAGATATGCCTGGCTAGATATGTTATTGTATGGTATGCGGTATGATGGGGGAACTCACTAAGCTTCGTGCTTACAGTTTTCAGTTTTGTTTCAGGTACCTCTTCAGCGAAGGGGAAGGAGCCGACACGGTAGCAGCGCATCGCACACATATGATTTCCGCATTTTGAGATCCATGGGATTGTACTCTGACATTATTACTATTTTGATGATATAGTTTGAGACACGTGACTATGTTTTATGAAATGATATGAATCAATGATGTTTTTCAGTACATTGTTTTACAAGTCACTTAACTAAAAACAAAATTTTTGGTCTTGAAAATTGGGATGTTACAGACACAAAACTACAACTTGAATAATTGAACCTTACAAAAAAATTGAGATAACTAAATAATATAAATTTGAAACTTAACTAGGTTATAACCCGTAAAAACCACAGTTATAAAATAAATAAAGTTATAACACGTAAACTACACAGTTCAGAAAATAAAATATTATAGAAATTTTAAAAATCATAATCATAGATTTGCAAATAAATTATTTTTTAAAGTTATTTTTATATAAAGTTTGATGTTTTGTCCTAGACTGTATCATCATTATTTTAAAGTAATATGTAAAGATAAGCAATTTTAAGCCTAGATTAATGATATATGAACAATTAATATACAAAATTCCTTATTCTCTTCATTTATATTTCATTTTTGCCAGCTCGCCTACATTAAAGTCTCACTATATTCCTACTATTTCATAACATCTTAATTAATTTGTCCCTAACTTTCAATTTATACAACTTAAGGGACAAAAGAAAGATATAAAATCCATTTTTAAGCAAGTCATCTATGCTATAATCAACTTATTTAAAATGAAAGTTCCACAATAGCAATCTAATTACAAATAAGATAATTTATCTAACTAAAGTCATAGAAATACTCTCTTATGGATGCTAGAACGCTCAAGGTGAGAAAACATTTCAGATTATATCATATTTATCATCACCCTACAAAATATTCCAAAACTGCCCATTTTAATTGGACTTATAACAAATATAAATAAAAATAAAAATTTACTATAAAGAAAACGTCACATGTTCAGACCTGCAAAGATTGAAACTTTCATGATCATGTTAGCTAAATAATATAAATTTGAAACTTAATTAATATTTAATAAGTAATAACATTAAGTCATTAACCCCCAATAGTCTTTAAAAATGGTTTTTGAAAAGAAAACGTCAACCTTGAATTATCCTTGACTTAATTACAGATATCGGACTCATCAAATTTGGGTTGATAAACTACTTTATTTTTTTTATTAAAAGTATTTTCAAAGTTTTTCGTCATTTTTTAATTATTTACTTTTTGTCCGTAATTTGATTTTTAACTACTGATTATAGTATCGGGGCTGTGGTTAATGGAATGGTCAAACAAGACACATTGTAAAAAAAAAATGATTAAAAAATTCTTTATGTCGGTGGAAAATTGAAATCCAGAATAGTAATCGTGTGCACACTTGGAATACCAAAGGGATCTGCAAACTTATCATAATCATCAAACAAACATATGCTATCAAGATTTCCCATTTCAACCCAATTTCTTCTTGATCTCTGATTCATTCATTCAAGAGAGAGAGAGAAAGAAAAAGAAGAAGAAGAGAATCTTGAAAGACCATTTTATCCTTTTGAGTCTTTGACTCAACTGGGTCCATGAATCTGCAAGTGCTCTTGTAATTTGAAGCAAAAGGTTTGAAGATTTTACTTGATGTTTCCTGATTTGTGTGTTTCGAATCGTGATTTGATCTTAATTTCTTGAACTTGAACTGTTCAGCTCGAAGTTCAAGTTTTGTTGATTTGGTTTGAACTTTGAAGCCCTAATAAGATTCTTCTTGAAGTTGTAATAAGTTGATTGATGCTAGTCACAAGGTTTTCTTTTGATGAGCTTACTGCATTTATCGCTGATATTGAGATTTATAGATCAATCGGTTGAGATATAGCAATCATTGAATGCGAACTGGTGTTGATTTCGAGGTTTTAAGTAGGAGTAAGCTTTGATTTTTGAATCTTTTTCATTACGTTAGCGTCTAATTTGTACGTGTTCTTGAATTTAATTAAGCTTAGGATCACTTTTAGAACTGGGCTATTGAAACTTTGAAACCCTAATATAATTCTTGTTACTGCAGCTAGATTTATCGCCGTTATTGGAATTTATAGTTACATAGGGTTGAGATTTTGCTGATAATGTAAATTGGTGTTGCTTTAGAGGTTTAAAATAGGAGAAAGCTTTTATTTTTCAATCTTTTTGTGCACTTTTTTGTTTGATTTGTATGTGTTGTTGAATCTTTTTATACTTTAAAAACGTAACAAATATTTTGTAATTACAGCTTAATGAAATTTTTTGCAATTTCAATAAGTTTTTTTTTGGACACAGTACATTTAACAGTATTGATGGAATTTATAGATTCTTAGGTTGAAGTTAAAATCTCTTTGAATGTAAAATGGTGTTGCTTTGAAGGCTTTAAGTAGTAATTAGTAAAAGTTTTGATTTTTTTTTGTTTAATTTCTATATGTTCTTAAATGTTGTCAACTTTAGAACCATTTTAAGAACTGGGTTCTACTAAACTTTCAAACCCCATTAAAAAATTTGTAATTCCACTGCAAATTTAAAGGTCTTTTTTTATGGGCATGCTATTTTTTTCAAAAGTTAATGAACTTTATGGATACATTAGTTAAGACTTAAGATTTTGCATTAGCATTCTTTAAACAGTTACAGTTTGATTCTAATTATCATCACAATGCAAATTTTCAGGTTTTCTTAATGTTTAATGGAGACAAAAAGCAGAGTTTCAAGTGCCTGAGAAGCTGGATTGATTATTAATAAATATTCATCTAATAATATAAATAAACAATTCAAAGATTTCAATTTTAATTTATTTTTAAATCATGGGCTGCGAATTTTCTAAAATGTGTTCATGTTGCGATACCATAGAAGATGGAGTTGTAGCTCAACCTGGTAATGTTGGTAAGTCAAATTTGCTCATTGTATCATTATTAGAAAATAGCTTATGTGGCATGATTATGATCTTTTTTTTTTTTTTTTTTAATTTCCAGAAAATGATATGGGGGAGACAAGTGATCTGCCTTCATTTCGTGAATTTTCTGTTGAACAACTTAGGAATGCTACATCTGGATTCTCTGTTGAAAACATTGTTTCTGAACATGGTGAGAAAGCCCCTAATGTGGTGTATAAAGGGAAGTTGGCAAATCAGAGGCGAATTGCTGTCAAACGCTTTAATCGATCCGCGTGGCCTGACTCCAGGCAGTTTTTGGTAACTAAATGACCATTTTACCCTTACATTCCAACAACCAATGCTGACATTAATTCATCAGTTTTGACACTAAAGGAGTAAACAAGAAACATCCATGTATATAGTTGTTAAGGTTAAATGCTCAACTCATTAAGCCCATTAAGTAAAAAAGAAACACCTCCAAAGTCCAACTTGTTGTCAAAATTATTTGAGAAAGTAACATCAGACTTTGGGGAAATGGAAGAAAAAAGTAAACAAGGTCAAATTTGTAAAAAAGTGGGAAGACCTTGTTTTTTTGTGGTGAATCTTATAAAGTAAATAAAGATTTATAGATTGAATTTTGTTTCTGTGATTATGACAGGAAGAAGCAAGAACAGTTGGACAACTTCGAAGCCCTAGATTGGCCAATTTACTTGGTTGTTGTTGTGAAGGTGATGAAAGATTACTTGTTGCTGAATTTATGCCACATGAAACACTTGCAAAACACCTTTTTCATTGTAAGTTACTAACAACATAATTTACCCTTTTTTGCTAATGACATAATGTTTGTGATTCAAGTGTAAAGTTTTGATTTTTATTGAATCTTGAATAGGGGAAACACAACCTATGAAATGGGCAATGAGGTTACGGGTGGCGTTATATCTTGCAGAAGCTTTAGATTATTGTACAAGCAAAGGGCGTGCTCTTTACCATGATCTTAACGCCTATAGAATAGTCTTTGACGATGTATGAATTACGATTCTACCCCTACTTGTTGCTTGTTGATTAAATTTAATCTTTGGTAACAATCTTGATTTGGTACATATTGTAGGATGCAAATCCAAGACTTTCTTGCTTTGGGTTGATGAAGAATAGTAGGGATGGAAAGAGCTATAGTACAAATTTGGCATTTACACCTCCCGAGTATCTGAGAACGGGTATCAACTCTCTCTTCTTTATCTCTCTCACACACACATGTGTTTGCGTGTGTGTGTGTTTATATTGAAATTTTATTAGGAGGGTATAGTGGGGTTTGTTTTTCTTGTGGCAAATCATGATCTTGAATTCTTAATATTGGTTTTCTAATTGGTTGTTTTTCTTGAATCTTTATGTGTAGGGAGGGTAACACCGGAAAGTGTAATGTATAGTTTCGGTACCCTTTTGCTTGACCTTCTAAGTGGGAAACACATTCCACCTAGCCATGTACGTTTTCATACGACATTTCAAACTAAATTACTTATTTGCCCTTTGCCCCTTTGTCATTACCATAAAAATTATTCTTTGTCGACTAGATTTCTTTTGTTTTGTCATTATTGAAGGGCATTTTAGACATTAACACACCCAAACATACAAAAGGACTTTTTTTAACTCGAATGTTATTTGAATTTATCAGGCTCTTGATCTTATAAGAGATAGAAATCTCCAAATGCTTACCGACTCTTGCTTGGAAGGTCAGTTTTCTAATGATGATGGAACCGAATTAGTACGGTTGGCTTCAAGGTGTTTGCAGTATGAGCCACGTGAGCGCCCAAATCCAAGGTCATTGGTTTCTTCTTTGGTTCCTCTACAAAAGGAAACTCAGGTATTAATTAAATATATCTTCTTTCATCATCACATCACATAAAGTTGCAATTTTTATCATTATTAAAGGTCTTTCACATCTTTCACCCCCTTTTCACCTTTTTGGGTGGGGCTAAAAAGCTGCAATTCTTGTCTCATTGACATCAGTCACAAGTCACATCAAATCCAGTACAAACTATTATGTTTTGTTTTGATCTGTCTTGTATACCAAATGGGGCCTTATAGTACATTCCTTTTGCGAAAGTTACAGTTTTTATCTCATTGACATCTCAGTTCCATTAAATGCAGTACAATCTGTTCTTTTCTGTCTTGTCCTTGTCCTGTGTGTCTTAAAGTACATTTTTTTTGTAGGAACCATCTCATGTATTGATGGGCATGCCACAAGGTGGCTCTGCTATGCCACTAACACCACTTGGGGAAGCTTGCTTAAGAATGGATCTAACATTCATACATGGAGTCTTGGAAAAATTAGGTTACAAAGATGACGAGGGTGCTGCAACTGAGGTTTGTTTATTGTTTTTTTGCTGTATTTTGACTTTGTTTGACCTTGACTTTCTAAAATTCATTCATGATTGTTGGTTGTTGTAGCTTTCGTTTGGGATGTGGACTAATCAAATACATGACACATTGAACTCTAAGAAGAAAGGGGACTCTGCTTTTCGTCATAAAGAGTTTAAAGCTGCAATAGACTTTTATACACAGGTTTGTTACTTTGTTCTCTTGTTTAAAAGCTTAATCTTTTTAATCTAAAAGTTCAAGACTTGCATTAGTTGTGGATCAAATACCTGATTTTTTTTGGAATATAGTTTATTGAGGTGGGGACCATGGTATCGCCAACTGTATTTGCAAGAAGAAGTTTGTCATATCTGATGAGTGAAATGGCACAAGAAGCCTTAAATGATGCAGTTCAAGCCCAAGTTATATCCCCAATTTGGCATATAGCATCCTATTTACAAGCTGCTGCTTTATTTGCATTGGGGAGGGAAAATGAAGCACAGATTGCACTAAGAGAAGGGTCGGTTCTTGAAGAGAAATATAACGCCAACTGAGAAGGGTATTTTGGTCATTTCATTTCCTCCCCCTTGATGATGGTATACGGAAGGGGAAACACCCAAGTCAAGTGTTTGATTTGATGATATAATGGTGGAAAAGAAAAAGGGTTTGAGATTTGTTTGTTTGTTGTTGTGGAAGCATTCTTTTGGAATACTTTTTGGTGAAATTGGTTGGTTGAATTAATGAATTTTTTGTTGTTTTGGTTTTATTACTTAGGGGTGGTGTAATGTAATGACATGTTTACCCTTTGGTTTGGAAGGGTGGTATTGGTAATGACTTTTTTGTCTTCTTGTTAATACGAAATCTTTGGTGGATTGGATTGGAATTTGGAATGGATTATTTCTATTTATTTTGTTTGGTGAAATATTTCATCTTTGTTGAAGTTTAGATAATTGTTTAGGACTGAAATATTTCATATTTGTTGAAATTTAGATAATTGTTTAATACTTGAAATATTTCATACTTGATGAAATTTCGATATTGTTTTTTTTTATAAATTATGAAAGTTCAAGTATTGGATATAAAGTTTTATTTGTATAAAATACTTCATAATCTTAAGTAGATCAAAAAGAAAAAAAAGTTTTAAGTAACAAAAACTTAAAAAGGGCCCAACCGGGTTCGAATCGATGACCTCTTGATCTGCAGTCAAATGCTCTACCACTGAGCTATGGACCCGTTTTTGATCATTCAGAAGTTTAATTATATTTATAACAAAATAGTATTCAATTCAGATAATAAAAGTTCTCAAATAAACGATGTCGCATTTGTGTGGTAAAACTGGTTTTCTAATTATCTTATTTATAGTTTTGTTGTAATTTGTAAACAAACAATTGTACGAAAAATATATTTTAAATGTCAAAACGGATAGTGAGTTAATATATATTAACTATATAATAAACGATTTCATTTCATTCTGAAAGACTCTTCAGTCTTCACAGTTCACACATGCCAGCTTCAAATTCAAGAAGCTTCTTTTACCTCAAAAATCTCCAATCTTTGTCCATCGTCGCCGCTATCCATATCCAATTTCCGGTAACATTTATACAGATTATACTTTCTGGGTGACCGTATAAACTCAATTCTAACCTGTATATGTATTTTTGCAGAGCAACATTTCCCCCCTTCCTACAGCTCAACCTAACGGAAGCTATCCGCGTTCTGCTTAAATGGTGAGTTCCAACTTCAATTTTATGCTTTTACAGTAATTGATTTTGTTCGTATTTGTAGTTTAAGTTTTTGAAGTGATATTGCGAACCTAAACGTTTGTATTCATGTTTTCATTCAAAAAGTTTTTGTTCTTCAGTAGACATGCATGATGCATGTGGCTATTTGGTGCGCTGTGGGCGTTTTCATAGTGATAATTGCCACTTCAGGGATTATTAATCGGATAAAAATATAATCATTGGATTGAAGTACATCAGAAAAATTAATTTATTCTGGATAATCAGTTCTTTCAGCAACTAAATCGGATGATTGTGTCTTGAAAGTATCAGAAAATCGTGATCAGAAATCATAATCATAATCAGCAAATCGCTTTTGCACCATATCAATAACAAGTTACATGATCATATATTCATACACATGATTTAGTAATCTGACTACTGTTGTCAAATTTTTAGGGCACACAAATGGTGGGCAGTAACATATTAGCATTCATAGAGAATGAAGTGATGCCTCTTCATGAAGTACTAAATGCAATAAGAATGGTGAAGAATGAAGCAGTTGAAAAGATCAATCCTTTAATCATTGAGCATGCTTCATCACTAAGTACCTTTCTCATTTCACCTATCAATTTCTTCCCATTTACCTCTTGAAACTTTATTATAACTTATGTTAATGAGTAATACTGTAATAGATTCTTTGCAAATGGACTCATCTTCTGTGGATTTCATCATATCCATGTGTACATCAGAAGATTTTCCTGGTGATAATTTGGTTGGGGAATTTTCACGGGTTTTAAAGCCTGGTGGAGAAATCTTTATTCATCAAAGTTTTGATGCTGCCAAAAAGAATGTAAAACATTTATCTTCTTCCCCAAAGTGAAACTAATCTAGGGTTTGTGTCTTAATTAATTAATCTCTTTTAACTGTTTTGCAGACAACATCCTCCCTTGGGCGCAAGTTATCAGTTGCAGGGTTTTCAAATATTGAGGTGGTTCAAATGGCAGAGGTTCTGTCTGAAGGCCTCCAGTCTTTTGGGGTAAGCAAAACTTCAAAGAAGTCAATAGGCCACCATTTGTGGGACCCAAAATTATATTTTTATGAAACTTTGAAGTGGTTAAATTTATATAACATATGAATGAAGTTTGGTTTATTGTCAACAGGTCAAGGGAAGGAAGCCTTCTTGGAAGGTTTTACCAAAAGTTGTGGTTGTTAATGAAATGGATGTTATAGATGAAGATAGTCTCTTATCTGAAGAGGATTTGAAGAAGTCCCAACTCCCAACAAGTAATTCATATTCAAGTTTTTATATGTGATCCGAGTAGTTTGATTGAGATATTTGCGTGTCACTATAATATCTAAATGGGTTAATGTCACAAATGGGTAACGGACTATTTGAGATGTTTAAAAACACCATTGTTTATAAGCAACTAGAACATTGTGTTCACTAAAATACTGTTAATATAAGGGTATTTTGGAACAAAACATTCCAGTTGCTTACCTTATGATAAAAGAATCTTATGAACCCAAAATTTGTTTTGCAGTTGGAGATTGTGAAGTTGGAAGCAAACGAAAAACATTGCAGTGTGGATCGGGTGATTCTCTCCGTAACAATGTTGGGCTTGAAAATGTTTCCCGTGTCAATTCTTCACAACCACCACACTCCCTACAATTTGAAACCATCCGTTTTCCTACTAAAACTTCACAAAACCAATTTCTTGCATCTCAACCCCAATCACCCGACAACCATGACACCCCCGTATCTGTATCCGTACCCGTACCATATCCATCCCGACGGGTTAAGCGCTCCAAAAGAAAGAGTTTTGAAAAAGTTACAAATCCGGATCGTAAAATGTCTATTCTTACTAAAACATGGCTTATGGATGAGGAAATGACATTGATAAATGCGTGGATTGACATCTCGGAGGAGGACACTGCAACCGGCCTGCCAACTGTTGGTCATTTTTGGAAGCGCGTTTTGAAACATTTTCACAATGCAATGGGCCGTGGCGACTACGTTACAGAAAGCCAACTCAGCTCAAAATGGAGGGCCATAAACGCGAAGGTGGTGAAGTTTAATGACATCTACAACAAATTGTTAAATGAACGTGGAAGCGGTCAAAGTGAAGCCGACATTTTGGAGGCGGCGTTCCGTCGATACAATTTCCAGTGGGAAAGCTTTGACCGTTATATGTTCGCTTGGGATGCTCTTAAAGAATCCCAAAAATGGGTGAATATGTATGTGAAGGATCATACAACAAGTGGTAATAAACGAACCAAGACATCTCACTCCAATGATTATACGACATCGTTGGATGCATGTTGTCACGTTGGCTTCGACAATGATGATGACACATGTGTACCTGTACCATCTCAACCGGTTAAGAGCTCTGAGAAAACTGCAAATCATGGTTGTACGGGTCCTTCTAACGGTCAAGAATGCACTACGGCCGAGGAAGCTGCATTGGCAAGTGCATGGGTTGACATTTTGGAGGAGGACGGTTCAACTGGTAATGTGGAAACTGTTGACCTCAATGACACGGATGACGAGATTGAGCCCGAGGATGATGATATTGAGTCGGAAGAACCTCAAAGCCCCATTGGGAGAGATAAAGGAAACAGAGCTTCGTCGTCAACTTTATCAGGATCCGGTATGGATGAAAAAATAGATCGATTAGTGGATAAGTTGGACAAATTTACCTCGACTTACGGCCAATTGGAAAAAGAAAAAATCCGTATAAAGGAAAAAGCATGGGAGGAAAAAATCCGTGCACAAAATGAAGCACGCGAGGCTGAGGATTTTAAAATCTTAACGGCGAATATCGACCATCTAATGGGGCCCACCCTTCGAGCGGCTCTAGCATTGAAGGAAAAAATAGCAAAAAGATATGGTTTTGAGTGATGTTTTTATTATTTTCATGCAAAGTTAAAATTTATAGTTTAAGTTAATGGAATTTTTTTAATTATCGTTAATCTTGTATTTGGTTTTTATTTTTTTAAATTTTTTTATTATTTAGTAAGTTCAATGTTTTAAAAATTTATAATTGTTATTTGTATTAAAAAAGAAATGGAAGGTGAAAGATGGGTAACACACGTTTAAATGAATGATAAAAAATGACGGATCTATATATCACGTAGCCTTACGTGCAATAGACAAAGGTCTTCCTTTTTTTTCAAACTAGAAAGGTTACCCCGCTACGCGGGGGCCAGAAGCTTTCAATGTTGTTTCTGAATTGATAAATATGACAGACATAGAAAGTGCAAGGATGAAAAGTCCGGGCTTTGCCCCGGACAAAAAATGTAAAAGTTTTGACTGCAACGACCAGAAGTGTGAAAATGGCTAAAGAATTAAAGGGGTAGGAATTAGCAACTTTTTAGAAAAGGGATCAAAGTTGTCAAATCGTTAAAGTTTTGTGGCCAAACTTTAAATATTAAAAGGTTCCAAAAAAGTGTAAAAATATTGATTGCAAGGACCAAAAGTGTCAAAATGGGTAAAGAATAATGACCAAAGTTGCCAAAAAAATCCAAATTTAGTATTCCTAACTTCCAACAATAATACAGGGACCAATTCTGCCAAAAAAATGGGAAGTTGAATGAAACACAAAAAAAGGACATGAATAAATTAATTAAAGAAGTACAGGGACCGGATATGTAAATCAAGGGACCAAACCTGGACAAAGTATCCCAACTCCTAACTTCCAACAATAATACAGGGACCAATTCTGCCAAAAAATGGGAAGTTGAATGGAACACAAACAAAAGGACATGAATAAATTAATTAAAGACCAGATATGTAAATCAAGGGACCAAACCTGGATAAAGTATCCCAACTTTACTATTCCTTTCTTCCACAACTTTAATATATATAATAATTGGGTGAAAACTGAAAAGGCAAAAAACTTGTCCCATTTATATTACACTAGACGGATTCCCGCGCGTTGCGCAACGAAGATTAAAAATATATTGTTAAAATATTAAAAAATATATGTTTAAAATGATTATGTTATTGACATTAACTTTGAGGTAAATATTTTTACATTAATATATATATATATATATATATATATATATATATTGTCAATTATTTTGAACAATAATATTCATTGACATCAACCCATATTCCTCATTAATAGAATTAAATATAATTATCTATTTAGTATTATTTTTAACAATTATTATTATTGATTGATTATATTTTTACTTATGCGATCATGTTCTAATTTCAATAATGATATTCATTTAAAATACAATTTATTTATAGCTAAATGTAATTTATAATTTGATGTTATCATCATTTAAAATTGTTATTCATTAATTTTAAACCACTTATTATTAATAATATGTTAAAGAAGACTTTTAAGAAACACTTAATATTATTATTAAAATGTGAAACATACACTAAATAATAAACTGATAAGATAGACAATTTGCATTTCAAAAGAGACTTGCATGGATAATATGACATATCCATGTAATTTGATTTCATTATTTATAATTATTGCTTATTAATTTTAAAACCACTTGTTATTATTAATATGTGAAAGAAACTTTTAAAAATCACTTATTATTATAATTAAAATTTTAAACATATACTAAAATACAAAGTGATAAGATAGACAATTTGCATTTAAAAAAAAGGCTTACATGGATAATATGGATAATATGACATATCCATGATTTTTAATTAATTATTGTTTTGAAGCAACATGAACATACAAACATGTATACAATAGTTAATTAAATATTATATATATCACCTTCCATAACATATGATCGATAACATGAATCTAATCTAATTTACATTAAAATTTCAACCACAACATACAATGATATTCTTAAAAGAATACTTAAATCAAGAAAATACAAAAAAGAATTAGTATATAACACACTTACAAATTAAAAACTTCAACATAATAACATGGCTCGAAAAATTGTTCAAAGCCCTCAAACCAACACAAAAAACTTTAAACTTGTTTTCTTTGTGAATTTTGTATGTGATTTGTATTTGTGTGTCTACTCAAAAAGATTGACTTTTTTATAGTAGAGTATTCATTAATTGTTTATTAAATATATTATATAAGTTATAAAACCTTTGGATTGTTAATCATTATTAAGAGGCTTTTGAGTGGTATTCATTAAAATAGGAGGTTTCAAATGCATGAGGTGTTTACAAATTTTTATGGGGGTTTCAAATGCATGAGGTTCAAGGAAAAATGCTAGCTTTATAAGTATGCATGATTTCCTCATTGCAAACAATATGTTATGTAATGTCATTAATCAGTTGATCTAGTTCACGATAAATTGTTCTCAATATTATGTAGTACGATATGAAATTTGGGAATTTGATGTTTTGTAGGTGACTTTATCTCAAAATTTTCTTGCTGCTGACCAGAGATGTGCGTTTGGACCGAATACCCAAACTAAAACCGAAACCCAGACCAGACCGACCCGAATTATGACCAAATAAGTTATTTGGGTCGGTTCTCGGGAATCTATTTTTGCCAAATTCAGGTTTCGGGTTACTCGAATAAAGGTGTAATCGGGCCAAAAAGACCGACCCGAAAAATGAATAGTCACTTGAACCTAATAACCCAAATAAACTGAAATGACCCGAAATGGCCCGAATAACCCAATTAAGGAAATTTTATATCTAGTTCAAGAAAAAAATATATTAAACTAATATATATATATATATATATATATATATATATATATATATATATAATTAGATATAGAATTTCCTTATTTGGGTTATTCAGACAATTTCGGTTTATTTGGGTTATTCAGGTCATTTCGGTTTATTTAGGTTATTCGGTTCAAAACCATAGTGTAAATGTTTATTTGGGTTATTTCGGTCCTTTCGGGTTAATAACCGGACCTAAACCCGTATTACCTGAACCGAACCGATCCGTATTAGTATAATCGGTATGGGTTTCGGTTCCTACTTTTCATCCAATTCGGGTTTCGGGTCGGTTCCGCCCAAAGCTAATCCCTATTGCTGACATTTATGACTCAAAAGAGAAGCATATTTTCCGGTTTACCTTTGATTTGATGTTACTTCATTTGTTTAAACTTTTAAGACGAGAAACTTTCATATATACTCGAGATTGGTTGATTTTATCAAATATATGTATTGATTTTGAACAATTATTAGATGATGTGCAAAAATATGAGAAATGTATAATATGTTACACTTTTATTTTGTATTTTTAGTTATATTTTCTCGTATTGTATTTATCTTTATTAATTTAAATTGTTTGTTTAATTTCTATTGTAGAAATAGTGACATTATTTATGATACATTAGGTCGAAATCGTGATAGCTATTTGCTATTTGAGGTAACTCTATTAATCCTACTGTTTTTGTTTTTTTTAATAGACAATCTCACATTCTCACCTTTTTCTCACTTGTTTGGTTGTTGACTTGTTTTAGGTTGCTGATGGGCTGTTTGATATCGGGATGTTGGGCTGGCATACTCTTAGGTTGATGTTGTCATGAAGAAATGTTGTCTAATGCTGTTTTGAATTGTTGTTTGCATTTTTTTTTTTTTGGTATTGTTAAGACTTGCTAGACGTGTTGGTCCTTTTATTAAGTGAAAGTTGTTTTAGACTTGCTATGGGTTGTTAATCAAGTGTTTTCGTTTGTTGTTAAATATTATTGGATTTGATTTCTGGAGCTAATTATTCTTGGATTTGATTTTTGTTGTTAAAATTCAAATGACCAATGGTTAAAGTTTACATAAAGAAAAGCCAAGTAGGCGGTTTCGGTTCCGTAAGACTAATGACCGCCAGTTCCGGTTCTTATCAAATTAGCAAATTAGTACTTGTCTATGCTGTAGGAAATATATAGGGTTTGTGGTGGAGATCTGGATACCAACTTGGATCGTGAGAACACTTTCCGAACTGATATTTCTACCCTATGTCTTGATTGCAAGAAATTCAGCCTAGGATAATCCAAGCGGACACTTACGATTTTAGGCACATAAATCGTAAGCCAATTTGCTAGAGAGATTCTGTGAGAGTTTGATAAAAAATGAGAGCTAATGATCGTAACCTTCTTCTGATAAGGAAGAACCGTTTATATATTAAACGAGATTAAGGTTTTATTAGGGTTGGGCCATTATTAGTTGCTTTGGAAGCAAGTCATGATAATCTGGATCTAATGAGGATTTAGGGTTACCAAAACTAACGAGTTTTGTTAGTTTTACCATAATCACCCTCAAGAAATTGAATTTTCCATTATGTTCCTATATGTAAAATTCGGTGAGGTTTTGGGGCTTTGCCCCTTGGACCCCGCTAGGGGCGCTGCCCCTAGACCCCGCCAAAGGGGCGCTGCCCCCGGACCCCTGACTAGTCGTCGAACCGATTTCTAATTCGATCTTATACATGCGTGCACTCAGCACCAACCCGTATATATATTAGAGTACAAATTAAGAAGCCTCTTAGCTCACATGTTAGTTCTAGTTACATAAAATGACATGGTGACACTAAAATCACCAACATATGCTCACCCTTAGTCTCACATGGATATAAACTGTAAGTCATAAAGATGAATTTGGAAAAAGTAGAAAGATTTCTTAAAAACCATTTTTTAATAAAAGATATTGGAAAGTTAAAATATTTTCTTGGAATATAAGTCATTGATATAAATAAAGAATTGTGTCTTAATCTACCTAAATATTGTCTTGAACTCTTACATGATTTTGGAATGCGTGGTTGTAAATAAGTTAAAACTCTTTAAGAAGCAAAAAAAAAAAATATTGTAAAATGTGATAGTGTAGAAAAGGAAGATAATTTGCTTGTTAACAAAACTAATTTTCAAAGGCTTGTGGGAACGTTAATCTATCTCTAAATAACCAAACCCGATACACCCTAGTGTGTTTAGATTTTAAGTCAATTTATGCATAAACCTAAGAAGTCACGTTTAAATATTGCTTCCAGACTACTAATATAT